CGGTTTAACCCTTTCCAGGACAAATCTGTTTGTTTTCCTAGCAGTCCATGGTATTCTCAATACTCTTCTCCAGCACCACAGCTCAAAGGCATATACCATATAAATTATGATATGGTGTTTATTGTTGTGTGCTGTTGAAAAGGAATTGACTCATAGCTGGCCCGCCCCTGGTTTTTAGAGGCTGTAAAGAGCACGGGGGAGACTGTCCATCTTTATCCCACTGAGCAGCTAGTGGATTTGAACAGCCAGCCCTTGAGTTGGCAGCACAACTCTTACCAGTAAGCCACCAGAGCTCCCTATATACGGTATAGAGAAATAAATGCAAGATTACAGCAGACTTCACATTAAAAATAACAACACAAGTGATAGCATGCCACAGCTTTAAAATACCAAAAACAATCAAGAACAATTTTAAAAATTCTCTCACCTTAAGATGCTATATCCAGCAAAAGTATCTTTTAAAACTGAGGTGACTTTCATTTCTTAAGAAGCAGCCCTGCTAGTAAAGTGCATTATCTGTCGTGCTGTTAACCTACAGATCACAGTTTTAAATCACTAGGCACACCAAGAGGGAAATATGGCCCATCTCCTCCCATAATGATTTACAGTCTTGGAAATCCAATAGTGAGTTACAACAAGTGATAACTCAATGGCAGTGGGGTTTTGAGTTTCGGATTACTCAACTGTAAGAGCCCTAGTGGCATAGATGCTAAGCACTTCACTGTTGATGAAAAGGCCAACAGTTCAAACTCACCAGCTGTTTTGTATGAGAAACAGGTGATAGTCTGCTTTAAAAAATTATCTTATGGGGTAGTTCAATTCTGTCCTATAGGGGTGCTATGAATTGGAATAAACTCAATGCCAATGGGTTTTGTTTCTGTCTTTTTGTCTTATTTTTGGGTTTTGGGGTATTTTTTTAGAAAAAGTAGACCAGATAAAGAACAGGGAGGAGTCTAGTGGACATGATATATTTATAAACAGAGACATGCTACATAGTGTGAGGTGCTGTAAACCTCTTACCTCTGAATTGTTGGGTTTGTTGTTTATTTATTAGGGTAGATTTTTTTTTTAGACAACAAAAGCTGAAAGAATTCTTCTCCTGTGGATCTATACTACAAGAAATGTTAAAGTCCCTTAGAAAGAAGGGAACTGATACCGGTTAAGATACGGATGTGTACAAAAAAATGTTGTAGCCACTTTCGTATCAGATTTCAGAGCAAAACAGGTCCTTTCATGAAAAGGTTTTAATCCATCAAGAGAGCAAAAGAATCTTAAATGTTTAAGCAATAAAAGAGCTCTAAAATGACACAAAACCTGGTAAGGGTTGCAGGGGGGGAAAGATAAATACAAATTACAATAATTACATTATAGCATGTCCCTGTTCAAAACTCTATGCCATCTCAAGCTTTTAAAAATCTAAGCACATGCTGAAAAAAGTCAAGGACTGGAGTCTTCAATATGGATTGAAGCTTAACATCAGGAAGACAAAGAGTCTCACCACTGGACCAATTGGCAGCACCATATTGGAGAAGAGATTGAGGCTGTTAGCAATTGCGGCTTGCTCGGTTCCTCAATCAACACTCTTAATACCAGCAGTCAGGAAATCAAAAGACTAATTGCACTGGGAAAATCTGCTGTCAGTGACCTCTCCAGAGTACTGTAGAGAAATCATGTCAGTCTAGATACAAAGGTGCACCTAATCCAGGCCATGTCTTCTCAATTACTTGTTATGCCTCAGAGAGTTGGGCAGTGACTAAGGATGACAGAAGAAGAATAGATGCCTTCGAGTTGTGGTGCTGGAGAACATCCTTGAACATACCATGGACTGCCAAGAAAACAAATAGGTCTGTAAACCAAGTCTCTCCTTGGAGGCTAGGATTTTGAAGCTCCGCCTCACTTACTTTGGGCACATGGCCAGGACAAATTGGTCCTCGGAGAAGGACATCATCCTCAGAAGGGTGGAAGGGCAGCGCAGAGGGAGACCCAGGATGAGATGGATTGATACAGTAACTGGGGCAATGGGGGTTGGTGTGTCGGAATTAGTGAGACTGGCTCAGGACAGGGAAGGGTTCAGAGCTGCTGTACACAGGGTCATTCATTATACATCGCTGGTGACTCAATGGCACATAACAACAATAACATACTATGACAGGTTTGGAAGCAGAAGTGGCATCCATTTCCTAAATAACATGCTTCTGGAAACTATGAACTTTGATAAATGTTGAGCGTTGTAGAGGCGCTTCAGGCCTTTTGTTCATAGGGTCGCTGAGTCGTGCTCAACTTGAAGGCAAGCAACAACAACAAGAAGCAGCCAAAAATAAAAACAATATACCTTAAAGCAATCATTTATCTCTCTGAAGGCTCACCCTATCACTTTCCCTTCTGCTCACTTAGTTCTGATGCAAGAGCCATCTTTGTGTTCTTTGATCACATTCCTAAGCCTATTCTTACCCTGCACTTGCAGTTCCCTCTGCCATACTAGGAAGCTCTGGTAGTAATGAATCGCACAGCTAATGTAAAGACGCACAGTTTAAATCTGCCAGCTGCTCAGCAGGAGAAAGACGGGGAATCTCCTGCCATAGGATTTACTGCCTCTGAAAACCTGCTGGAAGGTCAGCTATTGGTCAGTTTAAACTGATACACAACAACATGCCACAATGCTCTTCTCTCCAGATAGCTGCATGGCTGCGATCTTCTCAAATGCCAACTTCTGTGAGACATCTTTCCTGATGTCTCTATTTTCTCTTACCCTACAGCCATCACTTCAATAATCCACTGATCTCAGTACTTTACTTTTCTCCTTCACGGCATTTTTAACAATATTTTATTCATTTATTTGTTTACAATGTGATATTCCGTAAAGAATAATGAGATGAGGGATCTTGTTGTTTCTCTTGTGTTTAGAACGCTGTCAAGCACATAGAATTTCGTATTCGTAAAAAAGTTTTAAAACTATGAAGAGCCATGTTTGACCCTCTAAAGAACTTATCATTTATCTCAACACAACAGGGAAACTTTCATGTTTTGAACAAGGAAGTGAGTGGCAGATAAAAATTTGCTTTTCAAACACTTTGCTCTGGTTATGAGAATGTAATGCAGACAAGCAAGAATGTCAGAGAAACTAAGTAAGGCAAAGACTGTAAAAGCAAGAGATGGTGGTCGAACATGGACGTTTAGTAATATGCAAAGAGTAGACTGAAGTTATTACATACAGTGGCACAGATAGGTTTCGGTGCATCAGTGGACGTGCCTCCTCTTGGCAGAGCCTTTCTTGACTTGCCCATTTCTCCTTAACGTTCCTGTCATTCTACTCATTCTTGTGTTACAGTTCTTCTCACGCTCGGTGATAATTCCCGTTTACAAAAATGCCTTTTCCACTAGACTCCTCCGAGCATAATCTCTACTGAATGAAGGTCACCGCTCGTGGAAGTATCAATAAGCCTGGAATTCACTGCTACAATTCATTCTAGGATAGTTGCATCCAGTTATCGTCGGGGGAAAGCAGCGGCTGACACTGCTCTCCAAATATGACCAAGAACCAGTAGGTGGAAAGAAACCCAGTGCCAGTGGCGGTGAGAGGGGCACCAGGAAGTCCAGGCTATGGGCTAGGGAGAGAGGAACCTCCGTGCATCAGCAAGAATCAGACCAGAGACCATCAGCTAGGAAACGGTAATACACATGCAAAGCACAAACTCAAACTGCAGCTTCACACTAGACATGCAGGTAACAAGTGGGATGGATGTTCCACCCGGCGGCTCTGCCTCTGCCAAGAAAGTGCCATGAGTCTTGTAAATCATCCGCTCACCTATTCCATAGTACACAGGCCATGAAGGAGATACTTACGCGGTCGTGCCCTCGGTGTTAGAGCGGCGGAAGATACAGCTGTAGAGAGGCCTCGAAGGGCCCAGACCCCAGGCTGCAAAGCCTTCCACACCTGGAGCCCGGCCACCGCCATATCTGGTAGGACGGCAAGCCGGAGGTGACAAGCGTGCTACAGCCTCGGGAGGCGGGTCTATGGCCTTTCTGCGCAGGCGCGCGCCACCTTGCCCCGCCCCAGCAGGGCGGGGGAATATGAAACAACAGCCCCTGAAAGTTGAACAAGCCTGCAAGTTGTCAAGGAGGTCAGACGGCAAGTACAAAAAAGGTAACGAAATGAAATTAAAACATTTTCTTTTTAAATTTTCTACTAGTTTATTTACAAAATTCAAATGCAGTGTTTTCAAGAAAAAATTCTTTCCATTTCCCTCACCCCCACCACCCATCAAATTGTCCAACCCCATGATTAATCCCTCTCCTCCTGCACATCCTCATCCCTCTGCTTCCAACCTCTCCCACCTCTCTTGGATCCTTATACTTATTCTACAATAATGGTTTTATACAATATTTATCCTTGTAGTTCACTCAGCATAATGCTCTCCAATCCCTCCCAAGTTAGGTAATTACAAAATCATTGCTCCTGCGTGCTGCATAAGTATTCCATTGTGTGAATGTACCATAACTTCTAAATCCATTCGTTTGTGATTGAACATTTGGGGTGTTTTTATGTTCTTGGGATGGTGAATAATGCTGCTGTGAACATTGGTGTACAAATTTAGTTTGTGCCACAGTTCTCATTTTCTTAGGGTCTATTTCAAGCACTGACAAAGCTGGGTCATGTGGAATTTCTATGTTCAGCTTGCTTGGCTCCACAATCAACACTTTTGACACCAGCCATCAGGATATCAAAAGACATATTGTACTAGGATAACGTGCTATCAGGAACATCTCCAGAGTAATGAGAAGCAATGATGTCAGTCTAGAGACTAAGGTGCACCTGATCCAGGTCATGATCTTTGCAAATACTTGCTAAGCGTCAGAGAGCTGGACAATAACTAAGAATGACAGGAGAGGAATTGGTGTCTTTAAGTTGTGGTGCCTAGTTTTGGCAGCTGATTCTGAGCTTCTCCAATGATTCCTTCCACAGATGTAGTCAATCTGTAGTGAGCCCATCAGGAAGATCCATGTGTAAAGTCACATCTTGATTGCGTGTTCGGTCAATTTGAGACTGCAAGATTTTGTAAAAATGTTCAATTTCTTCCTCTTTGGCTCTTGATTTAGGAACATTTGAATAAGAGTCAAAATAACAGGTTTTCCTTGTATGCATATAGATAATATCCTATCTCTCATGACATTGTATTTCAGAATAAAACTTGAAATTGACTTTTTTACTATGAATGCAAAACCGTTCTTCTTCTGTTTTTCATTCCAAAATAGTATACTATGTATTTATCTGATTCAAAGTGGCCAAAGCTAGTCCTTCTCATCTCACTAATGCCTAGAATGTCAATAATGTTCAAGTGCTTCATTTCACTTTTCACAATTTCTAGTTTTCCAGCATTCAAGCTACATATATTTAATATTTAGATAAGTAAAGGATTTTTAAAAAATCAGGAAGTGCCATACGAGTAGGAGCCAATGGTAATGAAGGAGGAAGTTGAAGTTGCATAGAAGGCATTGGCAAAAAATAAGTCCCTAGAAAGTGATGGAATACCAACTGATTTGTTTCAGTTAACACATGCAGCCCTGGATGCACTCATCATTCAACACCAGGTTATTTGAAGGATAGGTGTCTGGCTGACAGAATGGAAGAGATCCATATATATATATATATAGCCATTCCCCAAAAATCCAACAGAATGAATGTGGAAACTATCAAACAGTTATCATTAATATCACATGCAAGTAAAATACTGCTGAAGATCATTCAAAACCAGCTGGAACAGTACATAGATTGGGAACTTCCAGAAGTTCTAACAGGATTTAGAAGAGGTTGTGACACCAGGGATATCATTGCAGATGTCAAATGGACCTGGCTCCAAGTAAAGAATACCAGAAGAATGTCTATTTTATGCTTTATTGACTATGCAAAGGCATTTTATTGTGTAGATATTAACAAGTTACTGCTAATTGAGGAAAATTGGAATCCCAGAGCACTTAATTGTGCTCATGAGAAACCTATACTTAGACTAAACAGGAGGCTGTTGTTCGAACAGAAAAGCGTGTGTCAGGTTGTATTCTTCTCCATATCTATTCAGTCTACATGCTGAGCAGATTATTTGAGAAGCTAGACTCTATAAAGAAGAATGTGTCATCAAGATCGAAGGGAGACTCATCAATAACCTGTGTTATGCAGATGATACAACCTTGCTTGCTGAAAGTTAGGAGGACTTGAAGCACCTCTTGCAGAAGATCAAGGAATACAACTTTCAATATAGACTGCATCTCAATGTCAAGAAAACAAAGATTCTTACCACTGGACCGATAGTCAACATCATGATAGATGAAGAAAAGATTGAAACTGTCAATAATTTCATCTTACTGGATCTACAGTCAACACCGTTGGTACCAGCACTCAGGAAATCAAGAGACATATTGCACTGGGAAAGTTTGCAGTTAGGGACCTCTCCAAAGTATTGAATAGTAATGATGTCAGTTTGAGGACTAAGGTCCATCTGATTCAGTCCATGATCTTTTTTGATAACTTGCTGTGCATCTGAGAGCTGAACAGTGAATAAGGATGACAGAATAAGAATTTATGTCTTTGAACTGTGGTGTTTTAAAAGAGTACTGAACATCCCATGGACTGGCAAAAGAACAGACAAATATGTCTTGAAGAAAGTGCAGCCTGAGTGCTCCTTGGAGGCAAAAATGATAAAGCTTTGACCCACATACTTTGGGCATGTTGTTAGGAAGGGCTGTTCCTTGGAGAAGGACAAGATGCTTGGAAAGGCAGAGGGTCAGTGATGGAGAGGAAGACCCTGAACCAGATGGATTGACACAGTGCCTTCTCAGAATGAATAAGTTCAGTGATCATTTGTTTCCGCTGCTTTAGTTAGTTTTGGGCTTTCTCATCCAAATATATCCTTCATGTGGGCAGCAGTCACTTAGGCAGCCAGGGCCATGGCTGATCATTCACAGTCAATCATTGGGTCTTTCTTCGGAGGTGCCTCTGTGTGGGCTCCAACCTTTAGCCTTTCTGTTAGCGATCGCATACATTTACCATTTCCCAACCCAGTGACTCCATACATAAAATGTAGAGAACTGCTTAGACTACAGTCCTTTTAAACAGTTGAATCTCCTTAAAAGATTTATTAGGGCTCCTTCCTCTGAGATTCCAATTAATCAGTCTAGAATATATTGGGCATTTTTTTTAAGTTGCCCAAATATGTCAGAGGATGGATTGTGTTAGCATGGAATGATAACCACACAAATGGTTTCAATATTAAACAGCAAATTTTGAAGTGTTTTTGGGTTGTATGTTCTACTTTGTATATTTTTACATGCAGTCTATGTTCTGGAAGGTTAAACAGCAAACTCAAAGGAGTGGGCATGGAGGCGAGGAGATGTGTCTGTGGAAGACATCACTGTCTACACGCCTCTACTTAAATTTTTACACCAATGAAGAGTTTTAAAAATTTAACAAGAATGCAGTAAGTTTGCAATCAGCAAAAGCATCATACTTAAATTTTTAATTTGTTGTTGTT